ACGAAAAAGGCCCTCAAGAGATAAGCCTCCTCCTCCTCCTCCTCCTCCTCCTCCTCATCCCACTCTTTCTTCATCCAATTGCACCTAATTTCCGGTGCCTTTTTTACCGGCTACTTTAGACACGCCACCACATGTGATATAGGCTGGAGAAGTAGAAAACCTAGATAAGGTAAAATTGTCAACACAAATGCATAATTTTTTCGCGAATTTAATTATGGTTTTTTGTAAATAATTTTAATTCCTAGACACCCCATTTTTAATGACAAGTCAATGCTGATTGTTCCAGTCGCGTCATCGCTTGTGCCTTCGCCTTCGTCACTTTTTGGCTTTAATTCTTCCCATTATTTGGTCTTGCACGATTTGATCTTGACGCAGAGGACTGAGATGATGAAGACACCTGAAAAGCGGACCGCAGTGATTTAAGGGCCTAACCCTTCTCACGCATTTTATGGCATCTCTCGCTATGCTAATCTCGACAACTCCCAAGCCTGTGCATGTGAGTGTATCACCTGGATTAACCCAATTAACCCTCCAATTTTGTTAATGAGATCCTCTTTCTTCTTCCCAAGGTACCCTTAACTATGAGAGAATGCAGCAAAAGAGGCTTCCCTCCATTTCGCTAATGCATTTAGGTCTCTGGTCTGATTCTGAGGGCTGTTGATCCTGTCACTTAAAATGTCGCCTTGGCTTTTCTCATGAACACTGTGTAAGCCCATCAAAGCCATGGATGACACCCAGAGCGACTGCTTGCCGAATTCCTTCGAGGGAGAGATTATGGCCTCTTGGGGATGATTAAGCAGGAGGGTACATCACCTTTGCTAATCAGCCAACATTTCAACATCGTGCACAGAAGTACTCACCTACGGCTGCCTTGTAAAAGTGGTGCGAGGAACAATTGACAGCAGCCGACCTTTTACCTGCCATATGACGAACATCCAAAACAAGACTGCAAAGAGCGTAAGCCTTCATTAAATCGGTACTAAGTGGGCATAAAACGCTTTTGTCTTGGCTTCTTGATCAGTTCTTTTTTGGCTGAAGGTTATGGCAGTGTTCGCAAACCTTCAATACTTTAAAGCCTACCGAACTTCTTCACCCTGTGACTTGACTTGTAACATCACAACGATGGTTTGATGTCCCAAAAATGGCTTAAATAGAGGGAGTAAATTGCACGTTTAAAGGAATGACCATTGTGAGAATTTGCAAGAACCCCTCGATACTCGTGAAAGGTTGACTGGTGTGTGCACACAGATTGACGACTAAATGACTGTGTGACCGACACCTCTGCTGCCTTCAAGCACCAATGGTTACTCTGCCGGAGCCAAAACCACGCACGTAATGGAGGTCAGATAGCCAACTATGCAATTCTTCTACTTGGTGTGGATCAGACGTGAGAGAAGATGACTACCTTAGAAGCAATTTTAATTAGTATGTGGAGTTGGAGGATGCTCAATGCTTTCACAACGGAACTATCTTCGAGATGACGCTCCGCCTCCTCCTCCTCCTCCTCCACCGCCACCGCCACCGCCACCACCACCTCCCCCTCCTCTTCCTCCTCCTCCACTTCCCCCTCCTCCTGATTCTTCTTCTTTTTCTCCTTCCTCGTCTTTCTCGACTTCTTCGTCCGCCTTCCTGTCTCTGCTACCACTTTTCCTCTCTGCGTTATGCTTGTTACTCATACGCACGTCCACCGTACTGTCCTAACGCCTTCTCTGTGGTAGTCACCACCCTGCCTTAGTCATGTGACAGCCACCACGTGACTAATCCACAGGTTAGCCCAGACAGATGGTACGGGAGGGTGAGCGAGGCATAAGTTGTCGTCGAAGCCTTAGTCACTAAACTCGCACAGGACGTGAGAAGGCAGCTGCTACAACCGCTGTTGACGTACGTGTGCTACTGACTTACGAAATAGAGGTGATGTGATGGTTTTAACTCGGCACAATTGGTGTTACCTTTTAATTCTTACCCTTTTGTCAAACTCATGCAAATGTGTACCCCTTGGCTGACAGAAACAGTCTCCAGTCTTATTTTTGCTTTACGCATCCCCTTGCTTCCAGCCAAGTGAACCAGAATAACCGCTACTTGATGCGTTCCCGCAAATTTCAGTCAGTAGCAGCTTCGCTTGGTGCTGCAAGCCTCCTTTGAAGGCTCTGTTCTGGTCCGAAGGTGTCCAGAAGGTGAAAATGTCGCTACGGAGCATTGTCACTGTCACTGTCACTGCAGTCACAGAAGACTAACATGTGGTTTTACCTGTGGGGATAAATAAATCTCGCCTTTCAGTCTCCTCTACGGTTACGTCCTCGCAGTAGGCACCTGGAGCTCTGACCCTGTCACCTGTTCCATCAAGCATAACAAAGACCACCTCCAAATTTCTACCCTTTTGATCATCTTCATGACCACCTTACAGTGGAGTAGAAGCGGTCGAATCTTCCTCACTTGAATGCATAAACAGCAGCACTTAACTACAAAAAAATAACCATGAAGATGACATATTTTTGAAAGAATGTATGCTTTCCTGTCAAATCAGTCATGGGGCGATGCAAATGACAATCGACAATTTTTACCGTTGTGTTACTTTTTCACCCTCTTTCCTTTACTACAGTCCATTAATGAGCCAATTCTCTTTAAGTGTTGCAACTTCATACTGATATTTCATCATCTCCCTGCAACACAAACGGCTTTAGCTCAGTTGTCGTGCTTGAGTTCAGATTATGCCGTCTCGGCCTAATGGTAAATGCTAAATCGCGTTAGAGGACCCTGTCACCTCCTGATTCGGCCAACTCATTTGGCTGATGGGCGGCAACTCAGTCGGTAATTTTGCAATCTAGCAGACACCTACTCACTTCCTTTCTCCTTTCCCCTCTCTCCCGTTATTCGTCTTGAGCATCCTTACAAGAGTGGATCGCGCAGTGCTACCTCGTTCTGCCTGTGGGTAAAATGCAGTGGCTAACTCTGTGCTCTCCTTTCTTTCCAGAAAGAACTCCTCACTTCGAAAATGATTAATTGTGCATAAACTCTGCTCAAGTTAGCCAAAGTCTATCTGGGCAGAGACTGCCAATTCCATCTTTATCCACGTCACCTTAAAAGGTTAAAGAATAGAGCATTACCCAAGTGGGTGAAAGCAGAGTCCTTGACTTAAGCAGAGGCGTAGGTGGATGATAATTTTGCTTGAATTGGCGGCTCAATCGTGCAAACACGATGTTCAACATTTGCATTCTAATGAGCAATTTTAGCTTCAACGATCTCTTTCTTACGTCTTATTTGCCTCTAATTTTGATGAGATTTAAGTGAGAAAAGCAAGGCTAAGATGTGAGATTTTGTGGTAGGAATGATGATGGCCTACGTGTGACCCGATACAGCTAACAGCACAAAGTGGGTTCAACAGACTGTAGCCGCTTTTGGATACGAAACTTGTGGATGTGTTCAGAAGGGTCATTTGGACCCGTAAATGATGCCGACGCTGGTGTTCTGGCTGCTTTAACGTCCTATTTCTCTTCAAGAATGCCAGTTAACTGACAGTTAACTGCAATAATGGTTTCCGTGTCAATATTACTCCAGTTAATGAATAACTGACGTTTATTCAATTACTATTTTGCAAATTTTATTGCACAGTTCCTTACAAGGAGGGAGTTTGACAAGGGAAAATAAAGCCGTTGTTAATGCAACCGCTGTCGCTGTACAGATACCAACCAACACGGAGTAAAGCTGATGGGTCCTTTTTTTTGAAATTTGATGCCATTTTAGTGGATTCATTTAGGGAGTTTAAGTAACTGCGACACATGCAGAAAATACCATCAGATGATATAAATCTCCTTCACCTTATTAAATGTCAGAATGCGACTTCAATAGTGAAGAGCCTTAAACTTAGAATTATTTTGCTACTAATGAATAATAAGTACAAAAAGTAAATGAAAAACAGAGCACGAGCTTTTTACAATTGTACAGCACAATCCAAGCCTAGTTTCGATTTATAAAACCATAAAGTACGCATACAGAACAACATCTTACAAAATAAAAGGAATGCATCTAAGGTGCTTAATTTGTCCATGGTGGGTGAGAAGCGACGACGGAATTTAAACGCGGTTTTTGAGAAGCGTGTGGACGACCTGTAAGGAGCAACAAAGTCACCTGAAGCTTCCCGAGACTTCCCACAGGGTAGGAGAAGGCAGTAAGTGAAGCTGAATACATGTGTTCCAGAAAGAACAAAGGGATTAAGCCTGAGCTTGGTCCGAAGGCCAGCTAATGCATGCAAGGGCCAAACGTCAGGTGGTCGCATAAACAAATTATTACAATGCCTTTACTCCCTTCCATTCACAACCACGCCTGTGACCCTTTGCCCTCACAATATATATTGGTTGTTGGAGTAGTGGTTTGTAAGGGAGAGGTGCGTACTCAATTAGAACGCCGTGTAGGTGAAGTGCTGGAACTCTTCCCTTGGCTAGCTTGGATATACTGGACGTGCTTCTTCCCCTTTTTGATTGTACCTATATAGCAGTGCCTAACACATCACCGTCGAACTCTCCTGCTCAGATGAAAGATAAAGAAAGTGGAGCTAAGACGAAGGCTCATGGGTTGAGGGCAGCATGAACCTTAAATATGCTTATTTGACTCGTTTGCACATTCAAAAATGTGGCATATGGATGGTTATTAAGCAGGGCTTACTTAGACGATTAATTTATCGTTGACCCCTTTAAGGTTTGTGGGAAAAACTGAGTACAAAAGAACCAATGTAGAAGAAATTTCGAGCCAAAATGAACCAAATTAGAGGGTCAATAAGAGAAACTCATTCTTGTATACGCAATTAAAATCATAGTCAGCAAAATTGAAAACAATCGAAATTCATACCTTCGTGATCATCAAATTGCAGAAAAAAACCTAAAGGCTCTGCAGAGGGTAAAAATTAAGTTTCATTATGGTAACTTAGTTTTTTTGACTACCTGCATGAGGGACGGTCATTTCGAGGCCATCTTGCCTCGGCAAAATGGGTGAGCCTGAAAGGTCTCGGGGCGTTTCAGTCATGCAAGGGTAAATAACAAGTAGTTATGCGTAAATCTACACTTAGCACTCGAATTTTACCATGCTAGATTACAAAAAGGGAAACCGAGATCCGAGTTAAGAAGCCACGGTTAGGCGATTACCTGTACAGTCGGCGGACTTTGCTCTTGGCTGCTTGGGCTGGCATGCGGGTCAGGTCAAATACCAAGTGCCATGGTTTAATTCTTGGATTACTTATGCGACTTCCGACCACGTTGATATTTACCTTTCTCATGACTATGTAGGCTGGTCTTCAACAAAGTCAAAGCCTAATCTGGCCGCCTTTTCGCCTCGAATACAGGTTCAGCTCTACTAAATGCCTTCTTCCAAGTAATGAGCGGTCTAAAAGTGTTAAACTGGTGGCAGCAGAAGACGACAACGAAGGCGTTACAGCTTAAATGCTGGTTTTTAGTAGTGTTGACTAATTTCTATGGTGTAAATGGAATGAAGACTGGAGAAATTTATCTTCGTTTAGCATCAGCTTTATTCTCGTGTTCTAATGCAAAGGCATTAATAACTGAAGCAATGTATCTGCGAACCCCCGGAAAAAAGTCGGCAATGGTATTGCGCTAAACTGTCTACTATATGCGACTGTTTTTCATCCACTCCCACATTGCGCATCCCTTTTGAGCCAGTTTCCGATTCCCCTCCTCCAAAAGCAAGTGATGGAGAGCGGAAGTATGTGGCTGTGAATGAATGTAACTCCAGAGGCTGTTATAGCTCCGGGATTTAATGAATGGTGCGGCTGGCTCGCGGGTACTTCTTTGCAGAGGGAGGGCTAAAGAGGAGGTTTATTATGAAGAGCTAGGCTCAGTGCCATTCAAAAGAGGAGAGGCACAGTGTAAAACCTCTTCTATCGGGCAACCTGAATAACTGGAGGGATTTAGCAACAATCGTGCGGTAATGTGTTAAACGGTCTCCCAAATGGACAAAGTGCATATCTTTTCCTTCTTCTCCTTAAAACTCGTGTCCATCTCTACTGAACGCCTTTGCCTTCTTAGTGGGAGGTCTCTGGATGCCGTGCAGTACTTCGTTTATGTGACCGCCTCTATGTCTGATGGCCACTTTGGTTTACGTCTCGCATTTGCAGGTGTAGGCTGACCTCTGGCACAAGTCAAATACGTCCCTTCCTCCCATAAAGGACATGTGCCCAGTCTTCGGAATATATGTATTCACCCTCACCTATGCCCTCTTTTACTCTATAGGAAGCCTCGAGACGTTACAGAGAAAAGTTTAGGCAATCAATTAATGACTAGCAGTGACTTTGAGATTCGTTATGAACTGCTGTGCGTGGGTTGGCCCTCAGAACAAGCCAGAGCTTAAACACTCTGTAATACCTTGTTTATGTGACTAACAGACGTTTCGCGATCACTTTGGGGCTTAACTGACCCTCGAACACGTGGGCTGGCCTTCAAGCTATGCCCAGGTACATTTGCCCAACCATCTTCTGACTATGTGTATCGAGCTACACTTACTGACTTCTTGTACTCTCTAAGAAGTCTCGGCACGCTACACCCTCCTTATTCTCTTGAAACACATGTCATCATTGTAAAGCCCGGGACTTCCCTTAGGTAAAAGAAGGCATCATAATGGGCAGAATACATATATCTTAAGAGGATAAAGAGGAGTTGCAATTCTGACATGGCACGAAAGTTGGATCGCGCAACAAGGAAAAGAAAAATGGTAGAACCAAGATAAATGTTTCATAGCCAAAAAACTCAAAAATATATAACAAATTACAAACGTAAAAAGGATGCAAAAAGTTTAAAATTTGTAAGCATAATTCTTTAAAAAAATAAAAGCAGGATATTTTGCATTGTGCAATCGTTAATATGATAATGTCGATGATAGCATTTTATATAAGTAGTTAACGCACCGTCGTTGCTCCAATTGCTATCCGCCATAAACGGCAGAGCGATGGTGAGTGTGGTAAGCGTGGGATTATACATCTGCTTAACATCCTTAATTCTAGGCGGCTTTTTATAACGGCGTCATCAACGATGTAATTGAAGGCATGAAGGAGACCTT